GCTTGGACGTTAACCAGTTAAAGCCCTGCAGGTCTGACCCCACGTATGGTGAAAGGTGAGAGTCATCGAGCTGCAGGGTTCTGAACAGCTGGTTGTACATCACGTCGACAGAACTTCCCTCGTCGACAAGGACGCGATGTACGTCGAAGTTGGCCATTCTCGCCCTTATCAGCAGAGGGATGGCCTAATTGGGGGCCCATTTAGGGAGCTCCTCGAGGTAAAAAGTGATCGGCTATGATCTTCCTTTCACCCTTTCGAAGGTCACTGTTTGAGGGGGGGCCGTGTCAACCAGCTCGTCCAGCTTCCTCTTAGCTGAATTTATGGTCAAATCATTAAACTCTCCACCATTGATGACCATGGCGGAGGGGAAATTTTCCCACATGCTGTGCGTAGACAGAGGTTCTTGAAGATGTTCGGGGAGGTAGAAGTCCTCGGGTATTATGACGGATAACGTGATTTAGATGGGAACCGACTCGTCAGATGGTCGGGCATCCTCTTCTACTTCCCTCGTCTCACGGGCATCCCGACAAGGAGCGTCATTTCGCCGATATTATGCAAGTCTTCCCCCTTTTATGAGGGTCCCGATGGCGTCCTTGAGGTGGATGCAGTCTTCGGTCAGGTTCCCGTGGCTTCGGTGGTACTGGCAATATTTGCTTCGGTCCACCCCGGGTTTGGCAGGAGCGGGGCGAGGATGTTTGACGTCGCCATCCTTGAAGTATGTACTTGTGCACTCCGCTAAGATGCGCTCGTGGGAAGCCGTTAGCGGAGTGTATTCGGTGAACCTCCCCGAGGGCCCCCTCTGTTCTCGGGTGTCTCGGGGTTTATCGTCCCTTCTCCTCTCTCCAGTTCGTTGAGGAGGGGCGATGTCTTGTCGCGGATTACTGCTGGATCCGCGGTTTCTGGGGTCTCGAGCTCTGTTGGCCGCTTCTCTCTCCTCGTAGTCCATATAGGCCCTGGCCTTTTCGAGGAGGGCATCAAACGTCTGGGGTGGTTCGATGCCTACGACTTTCCTGAATTCGGTGTCGGGGAGGAGCCCCCTCTCCAGCAGGTACCTCTTGATGTGGTCAGTGCAGGGGACCTGGATGGCTTCCCGGTTGAAGCAATCAATGAATTCTCTCAAGGTCTCATCGTGTTTCTGGACGATGGCCTCGAGCGTTGTTTCGGTCTTCGGGTGTCATCGCGAAGCAGTGAACAAGCTGATGAACTGGTTCTTCAGGTTTCGCCAAGAGGTAATTGACCCCGGGGAGAGACCTTTGTACCAGTCCATAGCCGCTTTCCTCAGAGTCGTGGGGAACAACCGACACTTGATTGGTCCCCCAACATTGTGGTAGTGGAGCATGGCTTCGAACCTGTCTATATGGTCGACCGGGTCGGCGATACCGTCATACTTCTTTAAGTGGGGAGGCTTCTCCATGTCCGGGGGAATGGACGCTTCCATGATAGCTTGTGAAAAGGGCCCGCGGGGGTCGTCCTCGTCACTCCATTTGGGAGAGTGGGATAGAGATCCGATGTAGTGGCAGTCACGGTGGCCCTGGTCGCGCAAATCATTCCTTGGGCAGTATGACCGTTGATGGTTTCCCCCGTGTCTGCTCCCGGGGGATATTTGTTCTTGCCGCGATGGACCATAGTCGCATCTTCCTGCGTCGACAAGCGGTTCCCTCTCCAAAGGGGGTCGTCGCCCGAGTGGTCGGGGCGACGGGATTATAGAGATGTCCCGATTCTGTCTCCGCGGGAGAGATTGAGGACGTTCGTCCGCTTGTCGAGGGGGAGGAGATTGATGTCTCCTGTGTCTTCTCGGTGGCCTTCGATCGTCCTCGAGCGCTCTCAGTCTTTCCCCCTGGGAGAAGATGAGATAGTTGGTTTGATTGATCGCCGCGAACAGTGCCCTGGTCGTGGCGTCTGCCTCGGCGGGGACGGGGACCTCGTGAAATTAGATCGGTGGATAGTTCAGGGGAGGTGGTCGATCTTCTTCAAGTCGGGGAGGGATTGATGAAGAAGAAGCTGTGGCCCCGTCCCTATAATTAGAAGGTTCGGGCATGTTGATGCCAGGGACTATGTTATGGCCGGCGGTACCAGCATTGTCGAGGCCGGCATTATTGTCGATGATATTGTTGTTAACGTTGATGATGCAGACGTTCTGGTTGTCCTGAGTCTGATCAGCCATGACAGTCGAGAATTGTTTAGCTTTGGTCTTTAAGTGAAGAGAAGACGGGGAAACATAGTTTCCCACAGACGGCGCCACTGATCTAACCTGATTAGAGTTGGACCGTCACAGTTGGCTTCGGGCAGAGCTTGAATGAGATAGGGGGTACCTGCAAGACACTCCGATGGTAAAGTGAGAAGCGGAATGAGCAAGCAAGTATGAGTTTAGGTGCGAATGAATGAATACCTGACCCTCTCATGAGAGAGTATTTATATCCCCCAGCGTTGGGCCAAGGTCCCCACTATTGGGTCACTCAGAGGCCCAATAACAGGAACTGCCAGGGTTTACGTGAGTATGGAGTCCAGCAAGTGGACTCCCCCTGGTCAACTGCTCCGCGAGAATAGGGCTGGACTCGAGATTCCCTGAAGACAGTTTGATATGTCTGTTGAGAAGTGGTGGGCCACGTCTCCCAATGGTTGGATGGGAAGGTGCCCCACAATCCCTAATTTGGGTTGTCTTTGGGCCTTTCGCTGGTAGGGCAAATGTAGGCTCAGTCCAGATCAATGGTGGTGGTGGTGGTGGTGGTGGTGGTGGTGGTGGTGGTGGTGGTGGTGGTGGTGGTGGTGGTGGTGGTGGTGGTGATGATGATGATGATGATGATGATGATGATGATGATGATGATGATGATGATGAATAATTTATAAATATGAAGAACTTTTTTATTTTAATAAATAAATATAAATAAACACTAATTAATGATTAAATCTTAGAATAACATATTATATTCTACTAACTCATAACAATTGAATTACCCCACCATTCTTATAAATATAAATACAAGTAGTGTTCATCAATATATAAATATAAATATAATTAATATTTATCAAGTATAAATTAGAGGAGAGATGTTTTTATTTTAAGAATAAGTTTATAAGAGTTATTTTAAATTTTAATTTTTGACTTTTATTAATTTAATAATTTTAATTGATTATTTAATCTATTTATTTTTAAAAATAATTAAAACCGTTAAAAATTAAGGGTTAAAATTTGAAATAACTCTTATAAATTTTCTTAAAGAGATTATCCCTCCTCATATAAATATAATTATGTATAACATATATTTTTCATTAAAAATAACGTGTTCAAAAAAAATTATTTATATTTAAAATTAACATTTTTTGTTATTAATATTCTTTAGTTATTATTAAAAATAAAATCGTCTAATCATGTCCACAATTTTTAAATTAATACTGTTGTTGTCTTTAAAATTTAAATTATCAATCAATTTAATGTAATAAAATAATAATATTTGTACAATATTTAATATTTACAATTTGATTTATTTAATTTAAAAAAATGTACTCACGCGGAAAGTGGCGAGAATGAGTTAAATACTATTATTAACTTGGTTGATATTTGTTGATAATCAACATTGATTTTTCATAAAATATTTTAGACTTAAATGCACTTTCATCTCTTTTTAAATTTTAATCTTTCATCTTATTTATGGTTTTATATACATGACACCTTTATTAATAACATGACACTACTATAATAACTCTGTATAACGTGTCTTCATCTAACATGAAGTTGTTGTAGCAATTTTATGTCATTAATAAAAGCGTCACATAATAGAGAACAAAAATATTTTTGAGTGAGGTAACATTTAATGACTAAAAAATTAATTTTTAAAATAAGGAGACTAAATATTTTTGAGTGAGGTAACATTTAAGGACTAAAAAATTAATTTTTAAAATAAGGAGACTAAAATCTAAAAAACGTGAAAAATAAAAGAGCCAAAATTACATTTAAGCAAGTACTTTATATGTCCTACAATAAACGATCGTTAGTAAAATTTGCCCGAAAATAAAAAATATTATTTTTAATATAATATTAATTAATATTTTATAAATTATACTATATATAATTGATTTTGGTAATTTCTTTTCTATCTTTATATTTTTTTAGTTATTTCTGGCGAAATTCCTTTTTTATTCTTAGAATTCAAAGATGTATCTCCGAACTTACCATTTTTTTATGAGATATTTTCAGAGATATATTGCCGAAATACTTTTTTCTCTTCAAAATCAAGGGTGTTTCAGAGATACATCTCTGAATTAGGATATTACAGTAACAAATACGAAAAGCCACCCCTCATTCTCATTTCTTCCAAATTCCAACTATCAAACGCTCCAAAAACCTCCAAAATCTCTACTTTCAAAACTCATTCAAGTTTGTTTACTCATTTGCACTTGCTACAACTCACTCCAACTCTCAATTTCAACACATTCAACAACTCTAAAAGTTTCAAAATTTAGTAAGTTCTCCAATTCCTTTTAATCTTTGCATTTCTATTTTAAGTTGTTTAGATTATGTATAACCTGTAAAAAGCTTGAATTATGTGTAAAAATTGGATTTTGGTGTAAAAATGGTGTTGTTAGGTTGAAGTTTTGATTATGGAAGTCGCAGGTTTTTTCGGAGATACATCTCCGAAAACCCCTCTGAGGAGTTTTGGAGATGCATCTCTGAAAAAAGTCTTGGGTTTATTATTATTTTTTAATTTTCAAACATGTTCTTGTTCGTCCGCTTACCTTTGATTTGATTAACGATTATTTGTTTTTCCAGAAAAATGACAGAGAATCCCAACAAATTGAGACTTAGTAGGCCTAGCCAAACTGCATCCGCTCGACGAGAAAGAGCTAAGCAGACTATCAGGCGTCGAGCATGCGGTCAGGTACCGAGGAAAGAAGTGGAGGGAACATCGACTTCTGCTCAGAGAAGTCACCTTTCACGTGCGTCATCGTGTAGGGATTACGAGGAGGAGGAACCCGAGTAGGTTCAGGTTCCGGAACTCGAAATGGTTAATGTTCCGGAAGCCGAGGATAAGGAAAATCCAGGTTTTGTAGGAGGGCTGCCTTACACCTCCCTCTTGATCTATTACACCGATCTTGTCGCTCGATGTGTTTCAGAGGGACGGGTATACAAATTTTTGTTACATTTTTCATTTTAATGATTTACGCACTAAAATGTTAAAATTGATATTAATTATTTATCTTTATAGGAACGACGACCACTAAAGTGTGTGAACCATGCGTGGAAGATATCCGAACTATATCACTCTAACGAGGCTTGATTCAGAGAGGCCATTTTTGCCTCTGAACTTGTCAACCTTTGTTGTTCCGATTACAGCACCATCAGCCACGGGATACACAGGACATTTGTCGAGAGGTGGCACAAGGAGACGTAATCTTTTCACTTGTCTGTTGTGGAGATGACGATCACACTTGATGACGTCGCCTGCTTGCTACACCTTCCTATCAGAGCGAGATTACTCAACCACTCTCGGATCGATCGTAGTGATGCGATTGAATGGATGGTCGACTATCTGGGATCTGAACCATAAGAGGCATTTAAGCAGTGTTCCCCACCAATGGGTCTCATGCCAAATTCTCATTCCTTAAGAACCTATATCACCAGTGTTTCTCTGCGGCAGCTGATTCCAAGTTTTCATTTGCATTTTTATTATCGTTTTCATCTAATTATTTATCAACACATTGATGATTTTAAAAAAATAAATCACTGTCCAGGGTTTCGGAGATGCATCTCGAAAAGAATCAAATCAGAGTGTTTTGGAGATACATCTTCGAAAATATCACTATATTTTTAAATATAACGTCCAAGTCCAAACAAATTGTTTTCAAAAATGCATCTCCAAAACACCTTGAATTGAGGTGCGTTCCGGAGATATATCTTTGAAGGTTATTTTCAAATTTTCGGAGATTTTTCGCCACCCATAAAAAATATACAAAGAAATTCCCTTAATTTTTACATTCCCATATCGATACAAAAATATCTCAAGATTTTTGACCATATTTTAAATGCGATTTAATTGTAACAAAATTTTATAACCTTTCTTTTCAAAAAAAAATTATAATGTTTTATTTATGTAAGTGTGATAATTTTTAAATTTTATGAAGTAATTCATCTTACACACTCTCAAAACCATCTATAAAAATATTTATTAGTGTTTATTGGAGTTAGATACTATAATTGAAAACATTGTCTTGTGTTTGGCTTCTAGAGATAAATAGATACTACATAGCTACCCATTTACGGTGCAAGCAAAATAAGGAACGAGTGGCCCTCACTTCTCATCCTATATATACATATCATTTCCCACCAATCCCTTCTCACACTACTCTCTCTCCATACATTATCACTATCTCTTCTCTCTCATTTCCCTCTCCTCAGGTTAGTTCCTCTATTTCAATTTTTTCAATAATTTCCACTTTTCCTACTTAATTACATATTTTTTTTCCTAATTATTTACTTAATTATCAAGTATACTTCACTTTAGGGTTTAACCTTTGAATTATCAAGGGTTTCTCTTCATAAATCAATCGTGTAAAAAACGGCTCTACCGTGAATCTTCTGTTTTCAATTTGTTTTTTTCTTTCTTTTTTGTTTTATTCACCAATTATTATTGAAATTTTTTATAATAATTTTACTATGTATTTTTATTGTAGTTTACAATAATTGGATGCTTCTAAGAGTTCATTTTTTTTAATCAACCATAGTGAATTAATTGATTTAATTACTTAATTACATTCTAGTATCCCTCATGTGCCTGCATGTGTAGTATTGATTTCTTTTTGTCAAATAGTTTAGTTTAGTGGCTGAAATGTGTGTCTCAGCATCTGATGTTACTGTACAGCTATCAACTGAGCTGACTTAACAGAATGACTTGTATTGCATTCTATGCATTATATTTGATTGTTTATTAAACATATTTAATTGTATTTTGAATTTAGTTAAGGTTAAGATGATTTTTTTGGCTGTTAATCTCTTAATTCATGTTGTATATGTAGAATGGGAAGTACTGGACAAACCAATTATGGAGAATACACCTATGAGAATCTTGAGAGAGAGCCTTACTGGCCATCAGAGAAGCTGAAAATTTCCATCACTGGTGCTGGCGGTTTTATTGCATCGCACTTAGCGCGGCGTCTCAAGACTGAGGGGCATTACATTATTGCTTCTGATTGGAAGAAAAATGAGCACATGACTGAGGATATGTTCTGTGATGAATTCCATCTTGTTGATCTTAGGGTCATGGATAACTGCCTTACGGTTACTAAAGGGGTTGACCATGTTTTCAATCTTGCGGCCGATATGGGTGGGATGGGTTTTATTCAGTCGAATCATTCGGTTATTATGTATAACAATACTATGATTAGCTTTAACATGATTGAAGCTGCTAGGATTAACGGCATTAAGAGGTTAGTATCTATAACCAAAGAAATATTTGTGATGTCGTGTTAGTTTCAATTGCCAATTGCGAAAAACTGTTTTTTTTTTCAGGTTCTTTTATGCCTCTAGTGCTTGTATCTACCCGGAATTTAAACAGTTGGAAACTACTAATGTGAGCTTGAAGGAGTCTGATGCATGGCCGGCTGAGGTTTGTTGGCGATCCTTTTTGGTTGTTTGATGAATGTTGGTTCTTTATTTTTACATTGAGATTGGGACTAATGTGCTCAATTTGATGAATGTGTTTAGCCACAAGATGCGTATGGGCTAGAGAAGCTTGCGACAGAGGAGATATGCAAGCACTATAACAAAGATTTTGGAATTGAGTGCCGGATTGGAAGGTTCCATAACATATATGGTCCTTTTGGTACATGGAAAGGTATGTCATTAACTGAACTGCAAATTTTTATTGTTTCGTTATTTCCAAATGAGTAAATTGGTAGACGTTTTTAATTTTGGCGTGCTTTCGGAATTAATAAGTTTGTTGCTTTGTTATACAGGTGGAAGGGAGAAGGCTCCTGCTGCTTTTTGTCGGAAAGCGATCACTTCTACAGACAAATTTGAGATGTGGGGAGATGGTTTGCAAACTCGATCATTCACATTCATTGATGAGTGTGTTGAAGGTGTACTTCGGTAGGTCTTTGTTGACTGTGTGGCTTTTCCAGCTTTATTCATGTGCTATTTGTTGGGTTTTCTCTGTTTGAATTGGTGTTTTGAGCTCAAGATTGATGTAAACAGAGCTATTAAAGTAAACTTTTGATGTTTGAGTTATTCTAAGGAGTCATCAATTTCATTAAAAAGTTTATTTGCAAAATCCGGTTAGCTGACTCAATCAACATTATTGGATTAAATGACTATAACATGGCTTTCTACTTATGTATAATTTAGTATTTGTCTTAATTGGTTGGATAAGGAAGATGATGCGGTGTTTATCTAGTAATTGCATTGCTCAATCTTTTATTTTAAAAGTTAATTCATATTCTATGATATAAGAATTGACTTTTTGGTCTATTCTTGTGTTTAGACTGACTAAATCCGACTTCCGTGAGCCGGTAAATATTGGAAGTGATGAAATGGTCAGCATGAATGAGATGGCTGAGATCGTTCTTGGTTTTGATGACAAGAAAACTCCTATACATCACATTCCAGGCCCAGAGGGTGTTCGTGGTCGTAACTCAGACAATACACTTATCAAAGAGAAACTTGGCTGGGCTCCAACAATGAAGTTGAAGGTATAAAAATGAGACTCGTTTCTTCTCTCGTGTCTTACTAGCTTTTTATCCGATTTCGTTTGTTTATTTTCTTCGAGAAAGAGTAAAGAAATGTTTAGGTTTTCTACTAAGATAAAATTCATAGTTTAATCTTAATGAACACCAACACGATTCGGCATATACTTACAGAAATATCTAAATTATGGTATTGTAGGATGGACTGAGGATTACTTACATCTGGATTAAGGAACAGCTTGAGAAGGAAACGGCTAAAGGTATCGATACTTCAGGATACGGGTCATCGAAAGTGGTGCAAACCCAAGCTCCTGTGCAATTAGGCTCGCTTCGTGCAGCAGATGGCAAAGAAAGTAGTTAATTCATGGCAGTAGCAGTCAAGTTAATGTTTCAGGAAAAGAGCTGGCTTCATATTGTAGCTTAATAAAGGTCTGTGGTCATGGTTATTCGCCGTTCGCAGGTTATTAGATCGGAATCGGAATCGGAATCTTCGATGCTCAGTGTATTTCATAACACCTTTTTTAAAGCACTTGTTGGTGCTTGATGTGGTTTACTGCACTAGAAGTTCTAAACTGTTTGTTTTTAGTCTCAGTCTTTGGTTAATAAGCGGACAATTGTTTTCTGCCTTGTGATTTCTGAAGTTCGATGTAATTGATTTTCATGTTATTTCTGAATGATTTATTATATTAGTATATGTAGTGTGGAATTTATGTATCATTTTGGCAAAATGCTGTGTTGATCTTACAAAATGCAACTCTGCCTCTCTTCCCCCTGTCGGTTCGATCTACTCCGGCACCTTCCTCCACTGTGTCACGGCCGGCCATTCTCTGTTCCGCCAACCCTGGTTATTTATGGTTTTGTTTAAGAATGATGGATGTCACATATATTCCTGCAATGCTGAAAACCTCATAAGAACTAGTGTTCAAAATCTTGTTAAAAACTGTTTTGGAAGTTGTTAAAATCTTCAAGTGTTTCTATTTTCCAGTTTTCCTAAAGCTATTCTATGAAGTTACAACTTTGGATTTGAAAATAAAAAGACTAATGTTCACATTCTACACTTAAAGGAATGCAATGCAATGTTGAAGAAAGAATAAACTACTAATTTAGTCTTTAAATTATGGTTTTCTATATAATTTCTTAATAAACTATATAAATATAATAATTAAAATATATAAATATATAAATCTTTTGAATTAAAATCTGTGAATCTAGTCTCTAACATCTTAACAACAGATATTAAACTGACAGATTTTACATACTTAAAAAAACTTATTTCTTGATTAAAAAAAAAAAACAACTTATTTATTATAATTTATATAATAATTTATAGATTAAATTGAAGAGAGAATGATACTTTAAAAATTAAATTGAAGTTTATTGGTTAAAGAAATTATGCAGGAAATGATCAGGTGGTGTGTGAGATGTGACTTGGACCGTGATTTGCTGTAGTTACGCATGCATTCACGCAGTCAAACGTCCATAACATTACATCAAATTTTCTTCTCAAAAACATCCATTTTCTTTAGCTGTGTCGGCGTCATAAAATCCAATCTCTAGAGATGAAACTTGAACAACTCAAACATCAAGGGTAAACTGTGAATTTTTTTTATCAAAATAACCAAAGTTTTCCAACTTTAATTTTAAATTAACCAACTTTTTTCCATAATTTCAATATACATTACCCATATTTCAAAAAATAAATAAATAAATAAAGTCGTGCAACACACTTTAGATCTATTGACGCCTGCAATAAAAAGATATAGGATGACTTAAAAGCAATTGGCTTCTGCATGTAAAATTGAAGGGGCGTTAGTTTAACTTAAGTGAGCCTTTTGAGTTTCAGAGACATCGCCAATAGATTTTACGTGGCTTCTTTGAATAATAGAAGGGGCACCAATAACACTTATAATGTTGCACTTTTTGAATTATTTTATTTTATTTTAATATATATTATATAATATATAATTGTCTAATAAGTATTCAATATTATTTTTCAGTAGGTAATTTTTTATAAATAAAGGCGTGTATTCTATTATTTTTTCACTCCTCTTCTCATTTTCTTCTTAATCTTTTTTTCATTTGTTCTAATATGAGTAATAAAAGACATGATCATGTTATTTATTCGAAATTAAGTCTCCGATGAAGATGTATTTTTAGAACATTCAAAATTTCGAACAATTTGAAAGGAATTTGAACCTTTGATTAGACGGAGAGATTAATGATGGTGAAATAATTAGAATTATGGAGAGACTTGTTTCGTACATCTCTATTGTGGACGATAATAATGATATCCAACATATGTATATGCTAGTTAAAAATGACAATGTTGTTTGGGATACAATATCCAACATATGTGTCTGGTCATATATACATTACAAAATCTCTACGTTTTTTGAATGGGGTGCCAATAGAAACTACCAGGCCTTAAGAGTATGAACCAAGACACTAATAGCATCTAAGGACTCTTACATTTTTTTGAAAAGTCTGACAAGGAGGCGCCAACAGAAACAAAGTGCCTTCTTAAATTATGGTAAATGTGCGGAAATAAGAAAACACCAAATATAAGCAGCCCAAGACAGTCGACACAAGATTCCCATTATTTGTTATTTGCCAAATCAAGAGTTTTACTTTTCAGATAACACCTCTTAATTCCCCACACTTCTTCCTCTTTCTTATAATTAAGAGCAAACTCAGGATAAGGGATTCTTAAACCTTTGGCCAGTATTTTAATATCGTCAGTTTGTCCAATACCCGTATAAGCCTTCTCTTTGGAGAAGTTCAGAATTCTATCCAATTCCTCTAAGGTCGGAGCTAACTGGAAATCTTGAAATGTGAAGCATCTCAACAGAGGATCATAGAACTGTACTAGAGCAGAAATAACGTCTAACTGCACTTCGACTTTGGTTAAATCCAAGATATCCCCATAGCGACGAGTAAATGTTTTCATAGCCCTTTCAGACAATCTTTCCCTTATAACTTTGATTTGAGTCACATCTGGCTTGACAGCATTGATACGAACGAGTTGTTTTCCTTTAGCATTCATTTTCAGATACTCACAAAAAACCTTTACTCTTTTTTTTAAATAAATTTCTTCGTACCCTGTGAATAAGACAAACAAAAGCAGATGATGTATGATGAACACATCAAATGTAGAGATGCATGAATATATGAGTAAAAGATTAAACGAAGGGATCTAATAAACAGTAACCTTTAGAAGGTAGGCTCTTAGCTTGATTTTATAGATATTCTACCCTCCCTATAAGGTGGTTTCCTTAAGGGTATCATGAATAACACTAGAGGAAAAGACACGGGGGCCTCCCTTAAGTGGAGTCTCTTTGCAGACCGAGACTTTCGTCTCTAGATCGTGAAAGGTCTCATCATGAGATTTTGGTTTAAGGTTTATACAAAGAGCCATAGGCGTCGTTCTAAAGTCCTACTTCCCAAGAGGATGTCTCTTGAGACATATTTCTTTTGCGGAATTCCACCGACTCTAGGCGAAGTCGTCACATAAATGCATAGGAATAATGTATCCCCTTGGCTAATAGACGAACCTTCTTTCTAAGATTTTTTTGAAAATATTTTTGCAAAAATTAAAGTCCCACCACAGATATAATATGATAATGAATAAAAATAATAAGCAGATACATAAATAATTAGATAAACAAGAAATAAAACATAATAAACAAAACCCTAAAAAACTCTAAAATCGAAAGATAAGGCCTATAAACCTAGGGTTGAGTCTCCAGCAGAGTCGCCAGCTGTTGCAACTAGTTTCAGAGTCGTCACCCTTAATTTTTATCCTAAAGGAAGGAAGTATAAAGGAATAACCCTAAAAGGTTTCAGAGATTCTAGATTTGGACTCGGTTCTAGACGAGGGGAAGGTGTTAGACACTCCTTATCTACCTTGTTTACAAGGATACTAGGTTTAGAAGCGCAATATTTAGGAAATAGGGTTTTTATTTTAATTAGAAGGAAAGGGTTTAAATTTTATTTAGCGGGACTCGCCATGATTTTAATCGTATGCCTACGTATCCTCTTAGGAGGAATCATAGTCCAATTTCGTAGTTCGCAGTTTGGTTGGTGTTTTTTATGGATTGCGAAATATATTTAAATTTCCAACATACGTAGTCTAAGAGTGTGAATAACGAAGTTTATTAGACCAAGTACGCAGTTGATTCAAATATATTCGTATTCCTTTTTTGAAAATTAATGTTGAATTAATTTATTACGAAAAATAATTTGATATTTGTTTGAGTACTTTTTAGACGTAGAGTAAAGGAGTCTGATATAGCCCCCTCATCACGTGGTCATATATTGGTCACGTGTCGCTTACGGATGTAGTAATTTGGTGAATCGCGCGGGTTTTGATATTTTGATGTAAAATATTAAGTTAATTTATACGGTGAAATTTTTTTTTACGTACATGATTAAAAAGATACGATTTATTACAAATAAATAATATCATATTTTAAGTGAGTTTAAAAATAATTAATTATTTATAATAACAAATAAATAATATAATATTATAAAAGTATAAATATATAAATGTATACAAATATATTGTAGTTGTTTAGGTATTGGCATGCATTTTTGGTAAAACCAGGTGTATGAATGTCATGACTGATGTCATAACATTCTAGTTTATTAGGTACAGATGTATTAGGTACCTTTGCAGAAAAATATTGTCATACAGGTACTGATGTTTATGAGTGTGTATCTGAGCATTTTGCAAAATGATCACATTTACCAAAATCAGTAAACAGGAATTCAGATGTCATAACAAATGTTAAGACATCCTGTTCTGAACTAACAGGTATGCAGTTTGGTTAATTCTGAGTTTTTTCAGGAAAATGACTCAGTCTTTCCAGAACAGAATCCTGCGTTTTCTTGGGGTTAACCTAGCTCAACCCTAACCTGGTTGATATAGTCCTGTGACCTAGTCTTAAGGTCAAACGGAATTAACCCTAGCCTTTTGTGGAAACCCTAACTGAAGATGCAGCTGCTATATATTCAACAGAGCTGCTGTTTTGGAATTATCCCTTTTTGACAGAAGATCATTTAGAAGCTGTATAGTTTTAACTATTGTAATCCAAGCAATTATCATTGTGATAAGTGACTTGGAATAGGTTTTAATTGTAAGGGTTGTGTATCACTCAAAGCTTTGAAGCAAGAGTGTTTGTATGTCTCTTGACTAAAGCTTTGAAGCAAAGTCAAGTTAAGTTTGTGTATCACTCAAAGCTGTGAAGCAAGAGTGTTTGTGTTGCTTGATTAAAAAGCTGTGAAGCATAATCAAGTGTATGTTTTTGAAGAGTGTCTTCATCAATTCATTAGTCAAATTGTTTTATGTATCACTGCTGTGAT